GTAATGTTGAATTAACACTGAAAAAAAAAAATTAGCAGACAAAAATATATCTAAATATTTCAATAAAGAAATTTTAAATTGATTTTTGTAAATATAAATTTATATCAATCAATCTAAAATTTTTTCTTTTCCGCCACCTTTTCGAAATGAAGTGCATTTTTAGAAGTTAAACAAAATGCCATCAATTAAAGTTTCAGTCGCTCCATCGTATTTAATAGAAGAAGCTATTAATAAAAAAGAATTAGAAAAAAAAAAAAAAAAAAAAACACAAGGAGAAATTTTTGAATATATAAAAAATGAGAATAAAAATATTTTACATATCTTATAAAGGTATACCTTTCACTACACCATATAAATTAGTGCTCTTAAAGCATTTCCACCTTTCCCCTTCATATTCATGGAGGTCACAAAATTGTAGGAAAATATTCTAAATTTTAATAGATAAGAGAACTGATACTAATTATGCGAGAACTAATATTAATTTTTTTTTTAATTTAAATTGAACTCATTATCAAACAATTTTTTTGCTAAATAATTTAATCCTTAAAGTTCCTGAATAATTAAAAATTATTTTGATTACCTCAGCATTTTAAAAATATTCCATCATTTGCAATTGATTCACCTAAAAAACAACAACAAGTAAAGCTAATATCATTGTTTGAAATTTTAATTATCTATATACAAATACTCATCATATTTTTAAAGTGACTAATAAAAATGGATTTAATTAAAATCACTTCATTTGTATTAAAAAATTAATGTTAAAGCCTTAATCATACTTGTAATACAACCTAAATAGTTGTTGCGATATGTAATTTTTTTTTTTCGAAATTTAGCTTCTGTAAGCTTTAGAAATTTTTTAAAGAAATTATTGATGAATTTGGAGCTACGGGTACTAATGTTTTAATATTGTTGTAATGTTTGTATTCGTTTCTGTAAGTCAAAATTTTAAGGTGTTTCCATTATAAATTCTGTTATATCTGAAATTTAGTGTTAGTCTGAATAATTTAATTTCTAAAATCTGTTTTGCAATGCCTGTCTTCTAACATCTTTACTTGGAACAAAAACTATGTGGTTTAAAAGTGAGCTAGAAGCTTTTAATAATGAAGAAAATATTGCATTCGCTAATCCTAAAAATATATTAAACCTGTCAGCAAAATCAACTGTCAATAATCCAAGTATTAGGATCATTAAAAATTCATCTTTGCTGCATTACATTTATTTTGGTCCAAGTAGTTAAGGATTTTTTTAAATTTCAAAAAACAGAAGTAAATGTTTTTTTAATATCACTTTATCTCTTTTGATTAATGGTGATACTGCACTAACTGATGAAACACATTGACAGATGTAAGGCCAGTATAAAAGTCGCAAGATCTATTATTTTTAAAATAAATGTTTGTATACAAGTAATTTGCAATAACACGATTTGTTTGGATTATGTTTATATCCAAATTTGTCTGTTTTCATAGTAATAACTGATGTGGTTGAAGTTAATTTTTCATATAAATCTTTTATATATATATATATATATATATATATATATATATATATATATATATATATATTTTTATATATATATATATATACATATATATTATATATTTTATATATATATATATATATATATATATATATATATATATATATATATATATATATATATATATATATATATATATATATATATATATATATACACACATATATATATATATATATATATATATATATATATATATATATATATATATATATATAAATATATATATATATATATATATATATATATATATATATTTATAAATTAGCAAGAGTATTAGTCACTTTTTATTAATTAATTAGAGATGCCATAAAAAAACTTTTTTTACATTTGTATTAAAAATGCGTTTCTAATTAAAAAAATAAAAAAGTCTTGATGATTGCGTTATTAAACTAATTTAATTTTGATTTATTAAAGTATTCTGGATCTTTTTTTGGAAAAAAGTTTATTTGACGCAAAATAGACGTTCAAAAGACCTTTAGAGTTTAAATGGGATAGACGGACGCTAAATAGGCGTCTAAAGGACGTCTTTTTTACGCCCCATGTTCATTGGAAACTTCTTCTGTGAAATAAATACCAGATTGTTTTTTATTTGTTTCAATTTTAGGGCAAATAAAGTGTAAAGAATATGCATCGTTTTTCATAGCCAAGTTCTTATTACCACATGAAACTAGTCTGGACTTTTTAATAATTGGTACAAAATAGTTAGGTGACCATTAATTATTATTTTGCATTTCTGACATAAAATCAGTGTTATACCATAAACGAAAATAAAAAATTATAATAAAACGAAAAGAAAAAATGATTGTATTTAAATTATTTTTTTTATTGACCTAATTGAAATATTTAAAACTGATGACATAGCAATTAGACAAAAAAATATAAAAAAACTGGTTAGCTTTGCAATTGATTAATGCTTTCATTTTGATCCGATGGCGATCATAAATAATATCGAACTTATAATATAACTTATATTTTTAAGATCTTAACCGTTTTTACATTAACTATATTACTTATATTCTTTATATTTTTGTATCTGAAAAACAACAACATAAAAAACTCTATTTATACAAAATTTTCGTTCAATAACAAAACAAAAACACTATTGTTCAAATAGTCGCCACTTAATTGTTATTTAGTTCGTTATAGCCATATTGGCGCTATTTACTGGTTATATCGATCGTGGTATCAGAATGTTTTTTTTTTTTTATGCTAATTCAATTTTCTTCCAATCATTCTCCCCCTCTTTGATGGACTCTAGTCTATCAAACATTTAATTATCAAACTGAAGAAGACACAATCTAGTAATTAGTCGTATAAATTCTTTTTCGCCATTTTTGACTTTTACAACTCTTACACGTCCATCCTTACCTTCAAAAACTCCCGTAAATCTACAAAGTGGCCAATGTCCTCTAGATGTATCTGGAGAAATTACTAACACAATGTCATCCGTTTTTATTTCGCGTTTTTTCTGATTCCATTTGTATCTTTTAAATAAAGATGGAAGCTTAGTAAAACTTGCACTCGACGCCAGCGCTTTTTAGGATGATAGCTTTTAGATTGAACTAAGTCAGGTGCAAATTGTCTACCAACTTGCCCGATCAAAAAATGATTTGGAGTTAATAGAATATCATCTTTTATATTGGCACTCTGATATGTTAGTGGCCGAGAATTCAATAAACTCTCAGCACCTGTAAATGCCGTACAGAGTTCTTCATCTGTAATATCGAATCTTTCGAGTATATTAGTCATTGTACGTTTGGCAGCTTTGACCATTATTTCAAATACACCGCCAAGATGAGGTCCTAGCGGAGCATTAAAGCGCCACTTGATTCCTTTATCAGCTGTAGAGTTAGTAATTTTATCCTTAAGTCGTTGACAATTTCGTTTAGTTCTCAACATCCTCCAACAAAATTTGTTCCATTGTTCGTTAAAACTTCTAATGGTAATCCTCTTCTATTCACCATTCGATAAAAAGCATTGAGGAATGAATGTGTATCTAGATTATAAGCCATCTCAAGATGTACTGCTCGTGATAGTAAACAGGTAAACAAGCACAAGTATCTCTTTTGTCGTATCTTCCCTCTACCTTGTATAGTGAGAAATGGACCAGCAAAATTGATACCAATTCTAGCAAACGCACTTAGTGGTTCTTTAAAGCGCATTGCTGGTAAAGGGGCCATCAGCTGTTGAGCAGGTTTACATCTTCTTAATTTACATTTGTTGCATTTTGCTTCTGCATCTCGGATTTCTTCTCGTCCTCGTATTACCCAATATTGTTCTGATAGTTTTGTTAATAATTGATTTGTTCCCATCACATGATTGGCTTCGTCATGGTAATGCATAACAATCAATTTTGTTATTGTATGTCCTCTCGGCAAAGTTATTGGATACTTGACATCGTAGGGTAAGTAATGGGCATTTTTCAATCGACTGCAAGATCGCAATAATCCGTCTTCGTCAATTTGCGGATTTAAAGAAATAATTTTGCTTGATATCGATATCGGTTTTCCTTTTTCAATGTTGCTATATTCCTCTTTAAAGCTTTTTTTTTGACATTTAGCTATGATTTTTCTTTTGCTTTCATGATATTCATTAGCTGCTATATCACCCTTTTTACGAAAGTCTGTTTCAAATTGACAATTTCCTATAAACCGATGGATCCAGCCGTTTATCCTGACAAGTTTTTTTCCAACATGAGAACTTGTTTACATCAAGCAATTGCTTTGTTACTTCAGTGGATAATGCAAAATTCATTAATACTGGATTTTTCTTTACTTTAATTGAAGCCTCTTGTGTAACTTCATTGTGATTCTGTGGCCATTTTTCTTCTAAAGAATTAAGGAAACTTGGTCCATGCCACCATACATAGTTGTTTTCAAATTCTCTAACTGTTATTCCTTTTGTTAGTATATCAGCTACATTAGTTTTTGTTGGTATGTATCTCCATTGCTTTTAGTTCAGTCTTTGATTGAATGAATCCAACACCGTTGACAACAAATGGTTTCAACTTTCGACCTTGATTTTTTATCCACCATAAAAAATTAATTCTATTACACCATATTGTTACGTCCTTAGTTTCCAGTTTCAATGCCTTGACAATCTTCTCTGCAAGTCGTAAACCGAGGACAGCTCCAAGTAACTCAAGTCTTAGTATACTAATAGGTTGCAATGGACTTACTTGGGCTTTTGACATTATGATCAAATAGGTCACTTCTCCTGTGTCATATAAACATTGTTGATAAGCAACAGCACCGTTAGCTTTACAAGACGCATCCGTAAAAACATGTATTGACCTATTTGTTACTGTTGAGGTTGTTTGTAAACAATTGGGAATGTTTATTTTTGGGAGATCGCTTAGTTCTTGAAACCATTGATAAACATTATTTGCAATCCTATCCAGAACTGCATCATCCGACTCAATTCCATCAATCCACAGTTCTTGCATAATTATTTTGATTCAAATGATATATGGTGCCAAAAAACCCAATGGATCAAACAATATTGCTATTTTTTTAAGCAAAACTCGTTTTGTATATACTGTATTTTCTTCGGTTGTTTCAGAGTGAAAACTAAAAAATAAACCAGGTTTTGCTTTCCAGAAAACTCCAAGTGTTTTCATTGCAGGCAATTCTCCAAAATCTAAATTTATATGTTCTGCACGATCATTTCTTGGTGTTATTTTAAGAACTTCGACCGAGTTTATAAGCCACTTTTGTGCAAACATTCCTGCTGAACCCCATAATAGCGTGAGTTCCTTGTATAATTGAACTCCTACTTTTTCATCAACTACAGAAGTTATTGTGTCGTTCATGTAAGTTGCTTCAAGAACAGCTTCAGAAGCCAAATAAATCTTTGAGCCATAAAAGACGCTGAGTTGACTCCAATTACAAGCCGATTAACTGAATTACCTCAGGCTCGGCAGTTGAATCTAGGTTTCTCCATAAAATTCGTTGGTACCTTTGGTCATTTTTATGTATTCCAATTTTTAAATACATTTTTGCTATATCACAAGCTAAAGCCACTGGGTATTTTCGAAATCTCAGCAAAACAGTCACAAGGTATTGTTGAAGTTTTGGACCTTGATAAATAACATCATTAATTGATTTAATTAACCATTATATTTTGCAGATCCATCGAACACAATTCTGAATTTTGTAGTTGATTTATCAGGACAAAGAATTGGAAAATGTGGTAAGTACCAACCATCTCCAAGTTCCCTTTTATTGATTTTCTCCAAGTATCCCTTTTCTTGATACTGCTTAATAATACTATTGTACTCTTCTCCTAGACTTTTGTTTTTCATTAGCCGTTTTTTTGTATTTTGTAATATGTTTAACGCCATTGTATAATTATTGTCCAAATGTCTATTACCTTTCCATGGTAATTTTAGCTCATATCTTCCATTCTCAGTTTTAGCGAATTAGTTACTATATTAAAGGCGGTAGAGTCCAGGGGCGGACTTAAACCCCGTCAAGTGCTGCAAGTGACGGGGTAAAAAAACAAAAATAAATATAAGTATTATGACGTCTAACACCCGCCTAAAGTTAATTGCCGATCTATATATTTTTGTTAGAAAATATAATTAGAAAAAGTTTACAATGAAAACTATGCTTTGCAGACGTTTGAAAAAGTGTTTTATAAAAATTGCTAACGTAAACTATACTTTGCAGGGTATTAGAAAATTATTTATAAAACTTGCTAAATGTAAACTTTGCAGGATATGAGAAAATTATTTTATAAAACTTGCTAATGTAAACTCTACTTTGCAGGATATGAGAAAATTGGATAAGTTCATTGGTTTACGCTATTAAAAGTAGCAATTTGATTCGTTAAAAAAAAAAACATGTTTAGTGTAAACTATCCTTTGCAGCATTTGCAGCAGTAATTTGATTGGTTGCAAAGGTCGATAAACAACTCAAAGAACTCCGTTGTAAAAACAAAGTATTTCCTTAAAATTTTAACGTATAAGCATGGCTTACAACTTAATTGATGATGTACTTAAAAGATTTAAAACCAATAATCTTGTCGATTTAAATACTTTTTATGAAACTTTATTGGATACATTTATTTACAACAATAACAAAATGGTTAGTAACGAAGGTCTTTTAAGTCGTTTTATTGATGGCACAATATTATTGTGCCATCTTATTGTCAATAAGAAGAAATATATGTGCCGAAGTTTGTATCCCTTCTTACTTAAAAGGCAATAAAATGCATTGTATTTCTCTAAGGTAAGTCAATTTACTTTTTTTTCAAAAATAATTATCTTATTGTATTTTATTACAAAATTTAATACTTTTTTGTAAAATTATTTATTGTTAATACCGTATTAATCTAATCTATAGAAAAATCTCGTTGACTAATCAATATTTAATAAGTGTCAACACCGTCAAGTGATTTTGACATGTATGATTTTAATATGTTCATGATTTATGTATTAAACTCCTACATGTCAAAATCATTTGTTGGTTTGTCTGAATTCTTGACTATTGATTTGATTTATGAATTTGTTTAAAAAGCAAAGATTTTTTACTCAATTTTAATTTTATTGATAAAAGAAGTTTAGCTATTAAAAACATGAAGTAAATATATATACTTTTTCTTAAGGTCTGAAGCATCTGGAAGTTGTATGTACAGCTCTACATCATTATTTTTTGTTGCTGACAATACACTGATGGATGTGTTAAGAGTTTTAACATCCCTTGAAATTTATATACATGCTGATTATTACTGTAAGCATTCTTTAATTTCAAAAATATTTTCTGATTATAGTTCTCATTTTATTAATCTCAAAAGTTTGTTGTGTATGTCAAAATTTCATTCTGCATTAGATTCTGGCTTCGAAAATAATAATATTATTAAAGCTAAAGCAATTGCAAACTGTGAGAGCACAGAGAAATGGGCTGGTTTTTTATATTTGTTAGGTTTATCATCGGTTCTTTCTTGTGATATTGTTTCCTGTTACCCAGATTTCGGTGTTGAAAAGTATAAAATATTTTTTAACCAAGAGATCTCACCACTTACTCCCATTAAATTAAATCGTGTAATGTCCAATTAGTTTCAGGGTTTTTTAATAAAGTTCGCGAACTTTCTTATTTTTTTAATTATTCAGAAAATAGACAAAAGTTTTTAGAAGCTAGCATTTTAGAGCGAGAACCTCAAACGCATAAAAAAAATTAAAAGATATCTGTAGAACTAGATGGATTGAGCGTATAGATGGTTTAAACACTCTTCTTGAGCATTATTCATCTATTTTCCATACTTTATGTATCATGGCTTCCCTTGAGAGTTCTGTTAACAAAGACACACAAAACAAATCTTCTACTTTTTTAAATTCTATTGGCACTTTTCAATTCCTCTTTACTTAAGTTGTGACAACACGTGTTTTTGATTTTACTTTACCTGTTACTCGGTTACTGCAATCAAAAACAATTGATATCTTAGACGGTTTGTACCTTATTACAGCTTTTAAAAGTACATTTATTTCCATCAGAAACGATATAGATAGTTTTCATAATAACTGCTATGAAGCAGCATGTTCGCTTTCTAGTAAAGGTGAAATTTTTGTTTTAAAACCAAGAACCTGTTCTATTCAAAAAAATCGTTCTAATGTTCCATCAGAGTCTGTTTCAGAATACTTCAAAAGAGCTGTTACTATCCCTCTTATAGATCATGTATCTACATCTATATCTACAAGATTTAAATCAGAAACTGTAGCTGCATATAAAGGGTTATCAATTATTCTATTTAATATTATTTCTTTTTTTAAAAGACCCAAAACCTAATTGTGTTGGAGGAAGCAATTTGAAACATTCTGTGATTTTTATATAGATGATTTCCCTAATATCAGTGCCTTGAATGGGGAACTAGTTCTTTGGGAAAAATACTGGGAAAGTTTCTCTGGGACTATTCCTGAAAATATATCTTTAACTCTTAAATCGATATCATTTTCTGGATTTGAAAATAATAAGATAGCTTTAAGGATACTTGGGACACTTCCTGTTATTTCATGTGAGTGTGAGAGGAGTTTTTCTGTTATGCGTTGGTTAAAAGACTATATGAGAACAACAATGTCAGAAGATCGACTTAACGGTTTGGTATTAATGTATATCCATCAAGAAATTGTTCCTTGTATTGATAATGTTATCAATAGATTTTCTATAAAATATTGACGACTTGATTTCAATGATTAGTGTCTATACTATTTATTTTATAACACACCAACAACTTTTGAAATTTTTGTCTATTATCACCTCTCTTCATATAACAGCTAACAAATAGGCATGGAAACCCCTGGAAAGGCCAAGACTTTAATAGTGTCCTTAACAGGACGGGTTAAATGTAACCCCATACTTTTGTTTGGGATTAGCTATATGATTAGTGATCATAGTTCAGGCAAACATTAACCATCTCTTTTTGACCATTGGCAAACATTAACCATCTCTTTTTGAGGCAAACATTAACCATCTCTTTCATATCATTTTCTAGCAACAAAATTAAAAATAAAAAAAATATTTTCAATAAATTTTCTCTCAATCAACCTAATAATATTCATATGTTTTTGTGCCATTTAAATCAGTTTTTTGCTGTAGTTGTCAAAACCATTAGCTTTCTTTTTATTTCATCAAAAATGATCTTCTTTTATGTTGTTAAAGCTTAACTTGGTATGTCTTTTTTTTTTAATCTTGATATATTTTTTTTTTTTTTTTTTTTTTATTTTAATTCACCTCCTCAAGGCCGAGAAGGCCACTACAGACGAGGAGGCTACTTATTTGTGGTTATAACCCTCTCTCAACTCTATAACTCCGAAACACGAACCTTAATGAACAAGGCCGCTGCGCGAAGAAACAAGTTGAGCGCGGTACTACCAGGGACGTGGTGGGGATCGAACTCGGAACCACTCGTTTATGAAGTGAGCGCTCTACCACTACACCACTACCGCATAAATAATAATTATGAAGTGAGCGCTCTACCACTACACCACTACCGCATATAAGAATATATATAACTTTTTATTTCACGATGTATATAAATCCATTTGTATTTTTGTCTTTCTCTTTTCAGTTCTTAATTTTTCTTTCTCTGATTGTCCATGTCCGCAATAAATATGTTCCTAGACATGCTGATGAGCCCTGATATTGGGCGAAACAATCATTTGTTGGTTTATATATTTATTATATATTTATATAGAAAAAAAGTTTCAAAGTAAAACTAAGATATGAGCTTCTTAATGAAATAGCAAACAGAAATCCCTTTAAATCCTCCAGCCCAAGGGCAGGAGGATTTAGGGGATACATAGGGGGCAGGCTAAGGGAGCGATGGCCTCCCTTAGCCTGATGTTTTTTTTAAAAGAACATTTTGTAAAAATGTAAGTAAATTTGGTAGGCTGTTTAAAAGTGGCATAAAATTGTGTAGTCTAAATTCTTTTTTTTTTCGGCTTGCCTGCTTAAAAATTGTTAAACCTGTAAATCACCCCCTTTAATCGTTTGGATCGAACGAAAAGAAAATTTGCCCGCCCCCCTTTACTACATAGTCTTACTTATTCCCCCTCCCCCCCCTGAATTTTTCTATTTGCTTTGTGGGCGTAGTTGCGTCACTTACAACATGGCGTAAGGCGCATTTTTTTGACGGGGTAAATTAAAAACCTGCGTCCGCCCCTGGAGTCTTCTGGACTTGTCATTGTTTTTCTGAACTGCATCTCTTCGTCGCCTTCAATTTCCCATAATTTTTTAATGATGTTGTTTGCATCTTCTATTTCCTTTGTATTAGATGTTATTTTCGTAAAATGGGTTTGAAGAGATCCACCAGTACCACCAACACTTGTCCATCCAAGTGGCGTGAGTCGAGCCACTGGTTCATTAAATCCTCCTTTTACTTCCTTAATTGCACAGTGCAGCGTAATCCACACCAATTGGAATGTCAATTTTTAGTTTTGTTCCAATATTCGGAAATTTGATTTTTCTTAGATGTTTCCAACTTTTTGACATATTTTTCCAATTAAGTGCTTTTAAGCTTCCAGTTACATTATTAACTGTAAAAGCTTCCACTGTAATTTTTGTTTCTCCATTCAATGATTCCAACTAAAATTCTACCGGCATCGTTTCGAAAGAATGAATTTTTCCATTTATCATGTTTACAGTTACTTTTTCGGTTTTACCTTGCAGTGACAACTCAGCCGCTACATCAGAGTTCAGATATGTCTTGGTACTTCCATCGTCAAACAATGCGTTTACCACAACTTTTTTATATCCATTACGAAGAATAACTGGCACCGTTCTAAGAGATATGTAGTTTATGATGTAATTTGAATGAAATTGGATGTTCGACGTATGAGAATTTTCTAATATCGTGTTTTTTTCTTTGTAGTCTTCAGAAACTGTTTCTTTTTTATGACTTTTCTTGTGAAGCAAACTATTAAGGGTATGTGTACAGCCATCAATCCCATAAATTATTGTGTTCCAGCATTCTTTTGACGAATGGTTAAAATTCAAGCATCTGAAGCAGAGTTTTTTTTTTTAGCTGTCTCCCATCTTTCTTTAATATTTTGATTTTAAATCGTTGGACACTCCCATATTTTATGATCGTTTTTGCAAACAGAACATTTCTGTATCCAATTTGTTTTCTTTTTTTGATCACTGTTACCAAAGTAAGAATTTCCTTCGTGTGCTTTGCTACCAATAGTTTTTTTTAAACCTTAAAACCTTTTAAAACTTTTTTTAAAACTTCAACAATAAACTTTTTTAGAGTTTTAACATTTTCGTCTAATTTGTTTTCATACACCCATCGTTTACATCTAATTAACATTATCTCAGGAACTTTTATTTGCAACTGATGGTGCAATGTCCCATCGCTAAGTTCTTCTGTTTGATTTGCTTCTTTTAAGTTTTTTACTGCCACATCCAACAAATCCGCAAACTTTTTAACGTCTTTTGGATTATTTTCCCTCATAGGTTTAAAGTTGTTTAATTCATCCAAATACATAAGGATTTTTCTCCTTGTTCCGCCTTATTTTCTTTCAAGTCTTTCTTTTGCAGCTTCATAAGCGAATGACGAATGCCCAGGTCCTTTCATTGCTTTTAATGCGTCTCCACATAAATGTTGACGTAACTGAAGTAATTTATTCTCAGATGTCGCTTGGGCTTGATCAATGCATATCAATGCAATGCATGCAATGCAATGAAATGCAATGCATGCAATGCAATGCATGATCAATGCAATGCAATGCGTAGAATGAAGCTTTCCAATTTTCATAGTTCTTTTTATCACCATTAAATATTGGTATGGAGACGCGTTTGAGTTGTTTCCATAAACCATGTCCAATTTTTGCAATCTTTTGATCCAAATCAATTGTTTCATTTTCCATTTTACTACCAATTATGATCCGATGGCGATCACAAATAATACCGAATATGTATTATAACTTACATTTTTAAGATCTTAACCGTTTTTACATTAACTATATTACTTATATTCTTTTTATTTTTGTATCTGAAAAACAACAACAACAAAACTCTATTTATACAAAAATTTCGTTCAATAACAAAAAAACACTATTGTTCAAATAGTCGCCACATAATTGTTATTTAGTTTGTTATAGCCATATTGTCGCTATTTACTGGTTATATCGATCGTGGTATCGAAATGTTGTTTTTCTTTTATGCTAATTAAATTTTCTTCCAATCACATTTTTAGATTACGATTAGCACGGATCCTTATAATGCCTACCTAGCTGTCCCAACGCCACTTGTACGGAAGGTTAGCTACACATCAAGGTACCCTGTGATGCAAATTTTGAAATTATTTAATTTTGTTCGCGGAAAATAATTTGATTTGAATGTTCAAACTAAGTCAAATTTTGACTTCATAGTGCGCCAATAAATACACTTTTAGAATTTTAACCATTCAATATAATTTGATAAATAATAGTGCAAATGTAGCCAATAGTCACACCAAACTCTGGACAAAATTTCAGCCTGATTGGATGACGCAAATGTAATTTCCTTACAAGTAAATAGTTTAAACAATTGTTTCCTGGTAAGAAATAACTATTCAAGAATTATTCCCTTGCAATTTAGTATTACCTCAATTAAATCAAGTAAATATTTCCTTTATTTTAATAGTTTTTAATCAATAATATGTGTTACTATATTAAGTGGATTGTTATCTAATATAAATTTAGGTCAAATTTTATTGTTTGATTTAGTGAAGTTAAATTTAGTGAATTGCCACGATGCCAAATCAAGCAAAGAATCATGATGAAAATCGAAAGTTTGAGTGCTTCCTCTGTCTGAAAAAATGTTTAAGACAGCTTACTACTTTTCAAACAGATCGAATATGCCAACTGTACAAGACCAAGAATAATATCAATGATACTTGGGTACCAAAAGAGTTCTGCGAATCGTGTAGAATTACTTTGCTCAGGAAACAAGAGGGGAAAGAAGGTGCACTTCCTCCTTTATTTGATTTTAAGTCAATACAAGTGAGACCTGAAACAAGAAGCACGATGTTTTGTTGCCTATTATGCTGAATTGGTCGTTTAAAGCTGCAAGAAAAACATCCTCTTATAGAGCAAACCACGATTGAGAAAAAAGGTGCGTTGCAGCAAATGCCTCAGCCCTTTGGGAAAAGGTTTGCCCCACTAATGCTCTCAAATAATGTTAAGGGAAAACATTCAATTTTTAGCAGCAAAAGATGCCAAATCATCCGAAAAAATCGCATCTCGAGTTATTTCCAATGAAGAATTATCTTTGGAAGGAACTATTCTACTGGCTAAAGCAGCCGGCGGGCCTCCACTTACAGTTACCCCTGGTAAATATTTATACTTAAATAATTTTAACATATATATTGAAATAAAGTCTTGACTATTAAAAAATAACACTAGATAGATTTCAAGAAGTATATTTTTGACAAGTTTCTAATTTCTTTAAAAACGTATATTTTGAAAGTTTTACACAAATTTATTAAACAAAGTTTATTGCAACTATAAAATATGTATGTTTTGGCTTTAGGTCAAAGTAGTGCTCCGACAACATCAAGTGCGAAATAATAATTGTCTAGAGTACAAAGAAAGATTGCGCTGCATAATTGATTAAAACAGTAAGCATCTTTAAAGAACATCATTAGAGTTATTAGAAATTAGGCTGATGAAATTCATATTTTACGGCGTATAATGAATACTTTCACCATCTTTAAAAGTAGTATTAAAGAGAACATTGAGCTATTTATTAATAATCTTTTGGTGGAGAAAATCAAAAAAACATTTTTTAAAATGTAATTACATATTTGATGGTAATACAATGTAAAAAATAGGGTTTAAATAGTTTTCACTTCGTTTTAAAAGTAAATGTATTAAAGGAGGTCATTACAAAATATTTTAGGAGATATACTTTTTTGTTTTTGTTTTACTAAATGGTAGTCCTTTGACCATGTTTTGCACTATTTTTTAGCTTTTTTTTTTTGGCAGCAGTTTATACCTTAAGAAATTTTGGTATATTCAAGCGAAGCATACATGGCCGTCAACGCCGGGGAGACTAGGGGGTCATGTCCCTTTTTACTTTTTTTTTTGCGAGGACCTTTTATTTTAGAAATATACGCAATTATTTTAGAAGTTATGGATTTTATTTTAAAAATTGAGGGGTTGACCCCTCCAATTTGAAGCCTGTATCAACGCCATTGGCGTAAGTCAATTTAAATTACGCTTTGAGTAGCAAATCACTACTTTTGGTCTATAAAATAAAAACTGTACATTGCCGATAAAAAAATTATAAAAAAAATTGTTGGTATTACATAGTAGAAAACTGATGTAACCGTTATTTTAAAAATAGTGACCGAATTTTCAAAGTAATCGGTAACGCTTTGAGGTATAAGTAACAAAAAACTGACATCCTACACCAGTCATCTAATCAGGCTGAAATTTTGTCCAGAGTTTGGTGTGACTATTGGCTACATTTGCACCAATTTTTATCAAATTATATTGAGTGGTTCAAATTCTACAAGTGTTTTTATTGGCGTACTATGACGTCAAAATTTGACTTAAATTGAACATTTGAATTAAATTATTTCCGCGGACAAAATTAATTAATTTCAAAATTTGCATCACAGGGTACCTTGATGTGTACGCTAACTTTCCGTGTAAGTGGCGTTCTTGGGACATCTAGGTAGGCATTATAAGGATTTGTGCTAGTCGTGTGATATACTTAATCAATTTAAATTGATTTGAACATTAAAAGGAAACACAGGCGATTAGCACACTAGAAAAGTTAAAAAGATTATTGTTTCACCCTGTTTAATAAATAGGGAATACCTCGCATAGTAGAAAGCTTTTAAAAGCAATTCAATCGAAATTAGAAACTTATATAAATTAACTGTTTTCAGAGACGAACTGCTCAAAAGAGAAGTTGAATTGTACACATAACTTCCATCTTCGGATGACCTTAAATAAAAAGTATATAATCTAAAACAAGCACAGTTTATATTGTTTTCTAGCTCGAAATATGAAACGACGATTTTTAAAGTCCTACGGCGAAAATTATGAACGAAGAATGTATATCAGTTGACAACACAGAATTTCGTAAATTTTGAGCAATTTGGAGTAACTGATGCAATTGTTCTTAAGTTTCTATAAATTGAGTTGGTTATAAAAAATATTCCCTATCTTTTTTGAAACAATTTTGTAACTTTTATCGGAAAGTTTATAACTACTGTCGCAATTTTTATTTTAATAAATAGTGATTGGTTGGAACTATTTTTAAACTAATAATTTATGATCTAGACTAGAATTGCGACAAGTTTTGCATTATTTGCTCCAAAGTGATCGAAAAAATTTGTAAAACTGTACAAATTAGATTCGGAGAGCGTAAAATATGTTTTCTTTAACCAATTGCATTTGAATTTAGTAAAAAAAAAAATTGTATTAGTTGCTTCAAAACAAAGGAAATTTTGTCTAGTAACAAATAAGTATAGATATCAAATAAAATCGAGTTTACATAAAAAATATTTTTTGAATATATATTAAATATTTCATTTTTGGAATTAATGCTAAATGTATTATTTTTGTTAAATATAAGATTCAAATGCATTATGATTTTTATTGAAAACCACTTGATTTTTGTTGAAATTAATGCCAAATGCATAATTTTTGTTGAATATCAGATTCAAAAAAATCCTTTGTGAGCAGATGTGTGTTACAAGCAAATTTTTTGTCGATATGAGATCCTTGTGCAGGGCCGGTGAGAGTAGGTATCACGTGGGAAGGTGCCATTACTATTTTTGTCAACAAAAAAAAAAAAAATTAAAAAAAAAAGGTCCTCGTTTTCCAAAATTTTCCGACTGCCTTGACGACATTTGCCAACTGTCTAGATTACCGACTAACCTGTATCGAAAGGGTTGATATTTGCCGACTAACTAGCCTATAGGGTCCAATTTGCCGACTAAGGTTCCAATTTGCCAACTAAAACTCATTGATGGGGAGGGGGGTGTCACACGCCCGCACCCCCTTATCGCACCGGCCTTGTTCTTGTTTAAAAAGGTTTTAAAAAATGGCAGATGTCACTTAGCTTTCATGTTTTGTGTCACGTGGTATGACGTAATAGATCCCATAGCTAAAAAAAATTTATTTGTTATTTTTCAAATATTTTGTACCAGTAGAAAGAGCACTAAACGAGCTTTAGAAATCATATAATAATATATGTTGAAATTTTTACTTCATAAGATATAGGGCGTTATGTATTTTACCATACCGAATATGATTTTTTTGTTGTGTTTTTTATCACATTTTAAATAAGCATTTTGTTATAATATATATATATATATATATATATATATATATATATATATATATATATATATATATATATATATATATATATATATATATATATATATATATATATATATATATATATATATATATATATATATATATATATATATATATATATTATATATATATATATATATATATATATATATATATATATATATATATATATATATATATATATATATATATATATAATGATCGTTATTAAATAATAAAAGAAAGCGGGGATTCGTAGAAGACCATACGGTCTTGTCGTGGAGTACCGCTAAGAAATGTTTGTGTAAAAATTTATAACATATTTACAAAATAAATAATAAATATATAATTTTTATAAATTCATGTTTAAATAGTGTAAAAAGGAAGATCACTAAAGATCACTAAAAAAAATATTAAAAACATATTGTTAAATCTTCGATTGCAAAATTTAATTCTTTAAGCTTTCGTTTAAAAGAAAAATAAAATATTAAAAATATTAAGTATATATATATTAAAAACTTTCATTTCAAATAATAAAGGGTTGGCATATTTGAAGAAATTACGACTAGATAACACATTTTTCAAAAATAAAAAAGAACTAAAATTATTGAGCTACTATTGACAAATTATTGGCACATATTAAAATTTACATTCTATAAACATAAAACTGTTAATATATGTAAACCAAAACATAACTTATAATTTACGATGTTTAATAAATAAAAGAAAGGACCCCTGGAAAACATTTAATTGACGGTATTAAATCAATTATCCTTGTAATATAAATGGAATTAATGACATTTGTTTAATGAAAAGGTTTAAATATCCTGAGATATCATTGTTAGATTTTAAAACGTTTTAAATTATGGAAATAAATGTTAAAATTAACGTGCTTACAAACTAGTATTTAATATATAGACATATAATATATGATAATTAAGGAAATTCATTGTTGGTGGAAGTTGTGCAGCGTTATATTGGAATTTAGAGAAAAGAAACCAATGAAGTTGTAAAAGAGTATTAATATTTTATGTCCGTTTTTTTACCGTAGACTCTAACAACAAAACTTTCGATGTTATTTATTGTAAATAGATCAGGTAAAACTTCCGATTGATCGAGACTTAATAGTGCAGCTAGGGTTCTATCATCAGCTTTAAAACATTCTTTCCACCATGATTTTTTACTGATTCTGGAAAAGCGACCAGTTTGGTCACAGCTAATAAACACATAAAAATCTGAAGAAAAAATATATATTTCATGAAGACTCTTATTGTCATTAACAATGACAAAAAAAACTAAACAGAAACACCTAAATTAGCTTATGCTTGTTTAGAATCAATTGCTTCGTAATATTTTTGAACTGTGGTAATACTTTCCTTATCCCCAATACCAGTTCGTAAATTTTTTTGAACGTTACAGGACTTGATAAAAGTAAACTAAAAGCAGAAAAATGTCAGTATCTTGTGAATGCACAATACATTTTTTAAATAGGTTTTCTTTTGCAACGTCTATGGCATGCAGAATTACGAAAGTGTCAGCCTTTTTGTGATCATGATTCATCATTTATGCAAACAGATGTTTCACATTTGTTTTTGTTGTGTTTGAATATGTTACAATGGTGCAAACAGCACTACCTACATTATTTTTTAACAATACATGCGATATGAGTTAATTAAATTACTACCGTAAACAATAAATAACATAAATGTTACCTTCCAAGTTTTAATACTATCATCTTTATGAACTAATATGACATGTTATACTAATATAACTAATATGATACATTATAACGTTTAATATAACTCAAAATTCTTGCATTTTTCTACAATAGTATTTCATTGGAAATTCAGTAGCATTTGCTCAAAGTTTCTTTGTGCAGACTCCTTGTCAATTATTGATAGGATTTCTTGCGCATACCTTTTCATTACATCACGAATCTCTGGGTAAAGAAGCAAGAAGCTATCGAAATATAGTTTGTTTAAAGAAGTATAAAACCATGAATGCTTCAATACCGCGTTTCATATGTTTCCCTTCAAGAAACTGTCCAAGGGTGGTAGAGCCGTAAACACCTGCTTCTATCAATATCTGATCAAGTCCACTTCCAATAATTTACTTTCCGATAACTTTAAAAAAGGCTAATATAATATGTAATTTCCTAAGTAGAAAAATGAAATTTTCTTTGATCTTATTATTCTGTCGTAACTGATTACATTTTGAATAAAGCTGAAGATCAACGGGCACAACTTTTTTTTACTCCCTGTGACAGCAACGTTGAATCCCAAAACAAGCTTTAACTCATTAAAAAGGTGGCTCCAAGTAGTCTGTGTAGATGTAGAAACATCTGGAAGTAAAGAGTTAATAGCATTCCATGTTGGTT